ATTAGGAAGGGCGATGAATGGCAGAAATGGGCACAAAAAGAACACAGAGTGAAAAATGTGCAAACACAAGGAATAAAAATATGTGGTGAACGGGATACAAGTGAGACATATGACAGCTACTGAAAAAAGAGAGGGATTACATTTCATCCAGCACCGTGAGGGAGGAAACGAAAGAAATAGAGCCGCTGAGCTGGTTGCCGCTCAAACTTCTGCAGTTGCAGAAAGGAACACAAGTACCGAATGTTATTCAAGAAAGTGCATGAACACAGTGAGAAAACAACTATATTTAGGGAAGATGAAGAGGAAGGAGCTTGCACCTACACAAATCAAAATGTTTGAGTTGTGAATGTACAGCAACATTTTGATATTTACAGCCCTCTGTTGCATACCACTGGGAATATGGCATCAGATATGGCAAGATTTGCTACCCATGCTATCAACGAGCCAATAATAGCTGAAGGACTGCAATTTCTTCTATGTAAGGTGATTGTCAGGTCCGGCCCGCTCCAGAACAGATGAATTCATTAGTTGTGTTAGCAGCAGGAGTTGAGCTTGGTTTGCGACGTCATGTGGAACAGACTGTGACAACGTTGGCACTTCTGAGACAGAATGGTTATGCATCATAATGGGAGTGTAGCTCACAGGAATGCCATTTGTGTGAGTCCATCCAAGGTCAATGGAATGCTGCCTGAAAGCTGGTTGTTTGAAAGATTGCTGGAAGAAAGGCATGCAAGGCAGAGGAAGGACGGGCGAGTGAGAACATAAGTGAAGAGTGGACAGATGCACACGGCAGAAATCAGGTGTCCGAAATCAAGGGAGGGCAGGCACAGAAAGGGTGGGAGAGGAAAAGATTACGGGTTATGGTGGTTAGTAGTACTGACAGTCTGGTGAGGGCGAGCATGTCACCAATATCCTCGGGGATGGGACCGGACAGTTGGTTGGAGCTCAGGTCGCTGGGGGAACAGCATAGACAGTGGAATGGAGGGTGGACACGGAGGCAGCGTTCAGAATGTGGAAATGAATACCTCATTCCACAGAGTACCGTAAACACTGTAGTGGATGCAGTTGAAGCTGCCTGGGGAAGGCACAGCAGCAGCGGTGGCAGACTGGAAGTGGCGGCGTGGCACCCACAGGGTGTTCAGTGAGGCAATGGAGGGAGGGATGGAGCCCGAGAGCTTGTTGAATTCGAGCCCCCTGCAGCATGGGAGGGAACCAATGCGATGAAAAGGGAAAAGAGTCTGGTTAGTGAGGGAACCAATGCGATGATAAGGGTGAAGAGTCTGGTTAGTGAGGGAACCAATGCGATGAAAAGTGGAGAAGAGTCTGCTTAGTGAAGGAACCAATGTCATGTGGTACCTGGATGGCAATTCCATCCCCGTCGCAACTCGAAGAGGAGAAGTGTTGCATAGTGTACAGATATGTGAGGCTGGTGAAGGTGCCGATGGAGTCGGGGATAGATCCAGCGAGCTGGTTGCGACCGAGCTTGCTGGTTGGTGGGTATCCAGATCGACCAGGAAACACTAAGAAAGTGAATAAAGAGGCAGAAAAGGAAGTAACTGATTTTGTTTTGCACGATTATACACACAATGGTTATGATGTATAAGAAAGCCGGATGCATGCATACAGACTTCACCACTGGATTGTTTCTACAGTGCAGATCTTATGCATAACATAAATTTTTGTGGGAAACAGATCGTGGGAGAGAAGAATGGTCGAGAAAATAGGACGGTAGGACATGAGCATAGGTCTGTAGACACGTAGGTGCTGAATTCTGCTTAGCAGCTTCGAGCAAAGCTTTGTGAGCGCTGTTCGCCAACCAAGACTGGTCGGTTCATTCCGAGACGAACCCGTCACGGCCGGCCTCGATCTATTTATGCGTTCTCAAGTATTTTTACGAGTTTAGCGAACTGTACTGCATTACTTGAATGAATGACCCAACCAAGACTTTAGCTGCACACACTAACCATAAATAGGATGTACATTTGTGTGCCTTTCAGTTTCTGTGATATTCATGAGAACATCTAGGATAAACCAATGTGAAGGACACAGATGTATAAGAACGAAGACGAGGGACTACCCAACAGCACAAAAGAGGACAAGGCAAAGGATGGTGGACGCCTTGTAGAAATGAATAACACGGAGTACACTTGGACAAGAAAAAGAATCCAGTCAGATCATAGTATGGAGCACAAAACGAATAATAATAATGAGAAGCTGTTAGAGGGTTGGGGAAGCAGATTAATGTGAATATTGGGCAATGAGCCCGGCTGGGCGTTGCTGTTGCTCCCTTGTGAAGCATCAACAAAACAAATGGAAACCCACATTCATCGAGCCTAGAGAAGCCGACGCGGAACACTCCCACAGAGGAGTAGAATATGGCCCACAGCCCGCTCGGGTTCTTTATGGCACACAACCCGCTCATAGGCCTCAGGAGATGTGCCTCCAAATGCCATGATAGCAGCAGAAGCGGTAGCCGAGTTTGATGTGCTTCATTTGAAATGCACGATGAAGGCACATGTTGTGAGGGAGGGGTATTAAAGTAACTGCAACTCACAGGAATTCCAGCTGCGAGAGTCCATTCAAGCTCGCAGGGATGCTGCCTAAGAGCTGGTTGTCCGAAAGATCACTGGACGTGCAGGGCAGAGGTAAAACAAGATAAGCGAGTGGGAGGAATGGGGAGAGGAGAAAAGGGTTAAAGGCAGATAACACAATGAGTAAAGTTATTAACTTTCAAGGATACAAAAGAAACCCTATACATCATGCTCCATGATCCAAAGGCAATTATAATGGATCAGAGTGGATAGGTTAACACTGAGGCATCAACAAGTAACCAGCCTAAAATATGAACACACGTAACCAGGCAAAAAATAACTCTTTCAACAGAGCGTTGTAACCCTTTAACCCGCATCCAACAATTTTGCAGTCTATCTTCATCAGAGGCGAAATGCACGCCACAACTTGGTGAGCATGGGCAACAAAGGGTACAGGCTGCAACGAGGTTGTGGTGGAGAGTGACTGACAGCATGGTGAGGGCGAGCATGGCAGTAAGGTCCTCTGGGATGGGACCAGATAGCTGATTGGAGCTCAGGTTGCTGGGGGGACAGCAGAGACAGTGGAGTGGAGGGTGGACATGAAATAATAAGGAGGTAGCGGATCGGCAAAAGAAGCTCCGTACAAGAGTCAGAACACCGTGTGGCTGTGGTGGGTGGATTTGCAGCAGTGATGGAGAAGCACAGCAGCAGCGGCGCTTTTAAAGGCGGTAACCTGCTGTGATGTGGAACGCTTATCAATGAATACGAACCCTTCTTCTTGGGGAGACATATGCAAGGGAGACAGGGGGGTTGATAGGAAAGGCGGTCTGAAATTAGTAGAGAACAGAGAAGAGTTGGGAACGGAATAACGTGAGACACCCTGCTACCATCACAATGAATCACTACTAAGACGATACGCTTCTGTGTTGGCGTTCTTGTTGCATTTCCAAATGTTATCATTCACAAGATGCTCACGCCACCAGGGAAAGTAGTTCATACGAGTCAGTGCTCGTAGAAGACTCGAGCTGTGTGCTGTGCTTCTCACAGGTATTTCAGCATGCTGAGCGCAGTCACGGTTGCAGGGATGCTCCCTCGAAGCTGGTTGCTTGGAAGATCACTGAGGATGAGCACGGACAGCAGCGCATTGGTAACAGATAATCAAGCTACCCAGAAGGAGGCAGTGTCGTGCTGATCAAACTCAAGCCACGAGGCATTGGCCCCCGACCACTCTGGCCCACTTCACCTGGCTGCACGCGCGCAGTGCCAGCGATGATGCTGCAAGCCACTCCCACCACACACCTGCCTCACAACATCCTAGCTGCTGGTGAAATGTAGCGCCAATGCCATCCTAAATGCTGGAGATGCTGCCGAACATAACGGCTGAATCCCCCTGCCACCAGGGGGGTACCTTTGCAGGCGCTGCTGGGGACGTACAGATAAGTGATATTTCCGAGGCTGCTGACGGAGTTTGGAAGTTGCCCTCCCAGCTTGTAGTCCCGGAGTTGCTTGTCAGTACCAATGGTGTCAGCAAGGGCATGAGTCCCCAGTAAGGCGGCACGCGCATCACGCTCATCAACTCGCATGTCATATCCTGATTTGAGCCACGAGCCATATAACACCTCGCTACCCACTGGGTCAAAACGAGGGTGTTATTTGGCGCAGCGGAATGCCCATTAACACTTAGCCCACAGGCGTTACACTCGTCCCCATCACAAAAATCCTGCGTCCAGAAAACCTTTGGAAAGAGTTGCTTAAAAGCTTTGTTGAATGATTTATAAACGTCTTGTTTGGTACGATATTTTGAGAAAGTATATACCTTCTTCTGGATGCTTTGTCGAACGCTGTTCGCATGCTTCTGCGATGCTTGTGTGTTCAAACCTCTCAGGTGAAAACCTTCGGCAGAAGTTTGGTTGGAGTTTCCGCAGAGCAATTTCGGAGATTGGATCTCATTGCATTGTACTCCTCATGGACATCCGGTTTAGTTATAATGAAGTTGGATTGGAGACTTGCAATGGTTAACATGTTGTTTAACAAGATGTTTAGTTGCCTCATCCTAGCATCCAAAATGACCATTACTGAAGCGTTGGTAAATGGGTTTTATTCTCAACAAAAAAGGCACATACAAGAGCATCCTACACCCCACCCTCTCTAGTCAAAGACCCCGCCTCTTAGGGTGATCTGCATCAACCTGCTTCTCATGCTCCCGTACACTATGCCTCCCACTACACCCCATGTCACGTGCTCTAGGCCGAGCATGCTCGCCCCTACACCTAGCCCCCATGATCCATGCCTTGGCTGCGACCCCACTTCCTGCCTCTCTTCCTGCATCTCCCATCCCTCCTTCACTAATTGTGGTACTATTGCCCTGCCCGTGCGTCCACTGCTTCCTCGCATGTCCAGCCCTGTCATGCGTCTGCTGCTCCGCCTTAGACATCCTCTAGTCAAGCCTTTACTGCTGTTTGCTTTGTCCTATCCGGTCATGCCTATACTGCTGCGGCCCTTGCACCACTCCCCTCCGTAATGCTGTCCCCCTTTCTCTATCCACACGTGCCTTCCCTGATGCCCCCCTTGCTGTCTCCACCAATGCCTCTCCTCGCACGTATGTGATGCCTCTCCTGCTGTCCCCTTTTGTAAACTCCACGCATGCCTCATCTGCAGCCCCCCTTGTCTCGTCACACCATCATTTGGCCCTCTTGCCTCCCCTTCTTTTGCCATTTTCGTGCCTTTTGCCCTTCCTCCGCTCCTGGCCCCCCTGCTTCTCATCCTCATCCTCATCCTCTTCCTCCTCTTTCTCCTCTTCCTCCTCTTCCTCCTCTTCCACTTCCCTCCAACCTCCCTTGCCTCTGCCTCTCTTGTGCTTTCTCCCCTTCCTCCGCGACTGCCCCCCCTGTTTCTCATCCTCCTGCTCCTCCTCTTCCTCATCTTCCTCCACTTCCTCTTCCCTCCTGCTTCCCTGCCCTCTGCCTCTCTTGTGCTTCCTGCCCTTCCTCCGCTCCTGCCCCCCCTGTTTCTTATCCCCCAGCTCCTCTTCCTTCTCCTCTTCCTCGTCCGCTTCCCTCCTGCCTCCCCTGGTTTTCCCCCCCTTGTGCCTTCTGCCCTTCCTAAGATCTTGCCCCCCCCGTTTCTCATCCTCTTCCTCATCCCTCCCACCTGCCCTAGGTCTCTTGTGCCTTTTCCTCTTCCTCTGCTCCTGCCCCCACTGTTCCTCGTCCTCCTCCTCCTCCTCCTCCTCCTCCTCCTCCTCCTCCTCCTCCTCCTCCTCCTCCTCCTCCTCCTCCTCCTCGTCATCCTCCTCCTCCTCCTCCTCCTCCTCCTCCTCCTCCTCCTCCTCCTCCTCCTCCTCATCCTCCTCCTCCTTATCCTCCTCCATGTCCTCCGAGTCGTACACCTCCTTTTCTTCCTCCTTCAGGTCCTTCGTTTCGGCATCAAGCTCAGCCTTCCCCCGGAAGGCCTCAAATCCTGACTCGTGAACATACAGCCCACGGTCGCCCCACTTGAAGCCCTTCACGTCTGTATTGTACACGGGGGTGTGGCGTGTGAAGTGGTCCTTGATAATCCACCGCACATTTCGGTGCAAACCCCCCATCCATTCACTGTTCTTCCGGTGGGAGTTGGAGACGTTCCAGTCAGTCCTCTTAACCTTTGATAGGCCCTGGTCAATCTGAAAGTGTATAGCACAGTATGGGATGGAGGAAATACACCAACTTCAGTGGACACTCGCGTGCAGAGTTTAGAGGCTGCTCTAAATGCCCCACATACCATGCCGAGGGACACAAAACAGCATGCCAAGCTAGAGCATACCATGGGTTGAGCAATAATTGCGTACCACCATGATTGACCAGGCAATGTGGTATGCTTTGACGCACACCCGGCGCCCGACACAGAAATTCCGAAATGCTTCCCGGACCGCATCTACAAACCGGCCGTTGGCAAACGGGAGCCCGTCTCTGTTGTTTCCCCACGAGCTGACCCGCTGTTTCCCTCCTGCGCGCATGTATGAGAATGCGGGGAAGCATGAGACATCCGTGATCATGCATGACTCATGGTTTAGGGTTGTCCAAAGGGTATGGATGAACATCGAGGGCGGGGGGGAATGAATGGCGAGAGGGCGGGAGAGTAGGGGTGGGCGGGAGATAGGGGGAGGGCGGGAGAGAAGGGGAGGGCGGTAGAGGAAGGGAGGGCGGGAGAGAAGGGGGTGGCGGGAGAGAAGAGGAGGGCGGGAGTTAAACGGGGGGCGGGAGAAGGGGAGTGTGGGAGAAGAACCAACGGATGGCTGTCATGCGGATGTGTTTGCACATGCGCTACAAGCTTGGGCGAGGAGAGCAGGTATGTAGTCGCGTGCCAAAGTGGGGATGCATTGGGGGTACGTGCTTCATCAACGTGGGGCATGCACGAGGGGTGCATGAGCAGACATGTCAATAGGGGATGGAAAACAGTCACGCAAGTACTCACTCGGTTGGTATTTTTTCCACATCTTCCGCTTCTTCTTGGTGCCCATCCACAGTTCGGCTGCACGCAGGCCTTCCACCTTGTTGCCGAAAGTGACGAGCACTCTGCGCTTGAGATGGAAGCCACGTTCGTTCTTCCATGACGTCCAGGCGCGTTTAAAAGCGCCTATGATGTTTTTGTCTTCCATAGCCTCTCGCAGCTGCATCATGTTGATGACGTGCGTCTCGCTGATAACCTCATACAACACCTGCACGCGCTGTTCGAGCGTTGGGTAGAAGTCTATGGCATGGTCTGGCGCCTCGAGGCACATCCGGTCCCGGCCCTCTGCGAAATGAACCTACGACAGCCGGATGGATAGGAAAAAAGGATATGTGGGTGACTCCCAAAGAAGGGCGGAAACCAGAGGTCGAGAGAGTGGGATTTGGGTAACACGTGCCGCAGGCCACCCACACCACCACCAGCACCATGAACAGGGGCTCTGGTTGAGGTAGGGGAGAGCGGGGAGATAGAGGGGGGAGAGAGGGGATGAACTAGTCTGAGTGAAATCATATGGGAGAGGGAGCAGAGTGTGAGAGCACCGTACGGACTGCGTAAGGGGTCATGTTCTCCTCGTACTAAGAGTCACAACCCCCGCTGCAGCCCGGCCCGCTACACGCTGCGCCGCATGCCACACACGCGACCAGAAGCACCGTTTAGAGGGGCTCTGGAAGAGGAGGGAGAGGGGTGGGATAGAGAGGGGGGGGGGAGGAGCAAGCGGAAACAAGGGATTGGGCACGTGGGGATGACAGAGAGGGCTGCTGCTATCTCTGCGCCGCATGCCACCCACGCCAGACCAGCAGCACCGTTTAGAGGGGCTCTGGAAGAGGAGGGAGAGGGGAGGGATAGAGAGGGGGGGGGAGGAGCAAGCGGAAAGAAGGGGTTGGGCACGTGGGGATGACAGAGAGTGCTGCTGCTATCTCTGCGCCGCAAGCCACCCACACCAGACCAGCAGCACCGTTTAGAGGGGCTCTGGAAGAGGAGGGAGAGGGGTGGGATAGAGAGGGGGGGGGAGGAGCAAGCGGAAAGAAAGGATTGGGCACGTGGGGATGACAGAGAGTGCTGCTGCTATCTCTGCGCCGCATGCCACCCACAGCAGACCAGCAGCACCATTTAGAGGGGCTCTGGAAGAGGAGGGAGAGGGGTGGGATAGAGAGGGGGGGGGGAGGAGCAAGCGGAAAGAAGGGATTGGGCACGTGGGGATGACAGAGACTGCTGCTGCTATCTCTGCGCCGCATGCCACCCACACCAGACCAGCAGCACCGTTTAGAGGGGCTCTGGAAGAGGAGGGAGAGGGGTGGGATAGAAGGGGGGGGGGGGGGGGGGGGGGGGAGGAAGCGGAAAGAAGGGATTGGGCACGTGGGGATGACAGAGAGTGCTGCTGCTATCTCTGCGCCGCATGCCACCCACACCAGACCAGCAGCACCGTTTAGAGGGGCTCTGGAAGAGGAGGGAGAGGGGTGGGATAGAGAGGGGGGGGGGAGGAGCAAGCGGAAAGAAGGGATTGGGCACGTGGGGATGACAGAGAGTGCTGCTGCAATCTCTTCGCCGCATGCCACCCACACCAGACCAGCAGCACCGTTTAGAGGGGCTCTGGAAGAGGAGGGAGAGGGGTGGGATAGAGAGGGGAAGGGGGGGGGAGGGAGCAAGCGGAAAGAAGGGGAAATGGCACGTGGGGATGACAGAGAGTGCTGCCGCTATCTCTGCGCCGCATGCCACCCACACCAGACCAGCAGCACCGTTTAGAGGGGCTCTGGAAGAGGAGGGAGAGTGGTGGGATAGAGAGGGGGGGGGAGGAGCAAGCGGAAAGAAGGGATTGGGCACGTGGGTTTGACAGAGAGTGCTGCTGCTATCTCTGCGCCGCATGCCACCCACAGCAGACCAGCAGCACCGTTTAGAGGGGCTCTGGAAGAGGAGGGAGAGGGGTGGGATAGAGAGGGGGGGGGAGGAGCAAGCGGAAAGAAGGGATTGGGTACGTGGGGATGACAGAGAGTGCTGCTGCAATCTCTGCGCCGCATGCCACCCACACCAGACCAGCAGCACCGTTTAGAGGGGCTCTGGAAGAGGAGGGAGAGGGGTGGGATAGAGAGGGGGGGGGGAGGAGCAAGCGGAAAGAAGGGATTGGGCACGTGGGGATGACAGAGAGTGCTGCTGCAATCTCTTCGCCGCATGCCACCCACACCAGACCAGCAGCACCGTTTAGAGGGGCTCTGGAAGAGGAGGGAGAGGGGTGGGATAGAGAGGGGGGGGGAGGAGCAAGCGGAAAGAAGGGATTGGGCACGTGGGGATGACAGAGAGTGCTGCTGCTATCTCTGCGCCGCATGCCACCCACACCAGACCAGCAGCACCGTTTAGAGGGGCTCTGGAAGAGGAGGGAGAGGGGTGGGATAGAGAGGGGGGGGGGAGGAGCAAGCGGAAAGAAGGGATTGGGCACGTGGGGATGACAGAGAGTGCTGCTGCAATCTCTTCGCCGCATGCCACCCACACCAGACCAGCAGCACCGTTTAGAGGGGCTCTGGAAGAGGAGGGAGAGGGGTGGGATAGAGAGGGGAAGGGGGGGGGAGGGAGCAAGCGGAAAGAAGGGGAAATGGCACGTGGGGATGACAGAGAGTGCTGCCGCTATCTCTGCGCCGCATGCCACCCACACCAGACCAGCAGCACCGTTTAGAGGGGCTCTGGAAGAGGAGGGAGAGTGGTGGGATAGAGAGGGGGGGGGAGGAGCAAGCGGAAAGAAGGGATTGGGCACGTGGGGATGACAGAGAGTGCTGCTGCTATCTCTGCGCCGCATGCCACCCACACCAGACCAGCAGCACCGTTTAGAGGGGCTCTGGAAGAGGAGGGGGAGGGGTGGGATCGAGAGGGGGGGGGGGGGGGGGGGAGCAAGCGGAAAGAAGGGATTGGGCGCGTAGGGATGACAGAGAGGGCTGCTGCTATCTCTGCGCCGCATGCCACCCATACCAGACAAGCAGCGCCATGAACAGGGGCTCTGGAAGAGGATGTGGAGTGACGGGAGAGAGGGGGGGGGGGGGGAGGAAATAGAACAGTTATGGTGAGCTCGGAGAGGTGGGGCAGAGTGTGAGAGTATCGTACGCCCAGCGCCAGCGTCCTTGAAGCGGGGCATACTGGGAGTGCCTATCACACCGCAGTCAGGCCGCTATCACTGCGCATAATGGTACAAACACTCTGACCAGCATAAAGAGGTGGGGGAAACGAGGTGTTGAGAGAGAGAGCTGCAGCTATCACTGAGCCCCATGCCACACCTTGCTTAACACTTAAACATACCCACCTTCAGCAGCTTGGGCTTGGGCATCCCACGCGTTCGACGGACTGGTACGTCTACCGTCGATGGGCTTTCTGGCGCCACGCCTGGATCGAGGCCCACTGCAGATGGGTCGCTCGACAGAGACGCAATACGAGGAGGCCTAGACGGAGGGGTGCAGGGTTTGACAGGTCCTTTGGCTCCTGGCCTTGCCTTGAGTGCCGCAATTTCGCGATCCCGCTGGGCAAGCTCCCGCATGAGCTGCTCCACCGTCTTGCCGCCAGCCACATTGGGCCGACTGGATGCGCCAGGTGTGCCCATGCTCTCGCCCCTCCCCTCCTTAGTCGCCGGATCCATTTTCAAGTATCCTCCTTCTCCCCTGCTATCCCGTACATCCCACATGGAGCCTTCCACACCGCCGCCACATTCACCCAAGGAATTCACCCACACACCTCCTCCCACACCGTCATTGGCTGCTGCGGCGGCCGAGGGTTCGTGCCGCTTCGTTGCTCCCTCGATTTTCACCTGAACCGCGTGACCCCCCGAAAGCTTTGCATGCGGGTCCGTCGCTTCCGTGCCAAACCGCGCTGACCCCCAAGCGAACGGATCTCCCTTCCCAGACGAATCCATCTGCTTGCGTAACGCAGCATACGTGTCGGTTGCTTTCCGATCATGAGGGCTTGATGGACATCGTAGCCCCATGGACTCGTAAAAATCCAACTCCCGCTTCTCCTTGCTACGCACACCCACAATTTTAGCTTCGAATCGAGGTCTCTGGCGCTTGCCATGTGGTTTGGCACGACGCACACTCTGCTTATAGCTCTTCACCCGTCCTGTCTCCGATTTTCGCTTTCCATTGCCCTTCTTGGTCTTCCGCACACCCCTCCTCTTCAAAGGCCGAGCCTCCTCCTCATCCTCGCTCTCCGGCTCCAACTCCTCATCCTCCTCTTCCTCTTCCTCCTCCTCCTCGTCCTCGTATACTTCCTCACTCCCTGATGAGCTGCCTGACTCACTGTCACTGGATCCCTCCTCCGAACCCGACGAGCTCGAAACATACTGTTTCGTCCCTTGTCGAGCTTGTCTCGCATTTCGGTCGCGACCGGCCGAGTCCACAGCATTGCGTCGTTTGTACGGAATCACAGCTTCACGTCCATGCTCTTTCCCAGCCGTGACTGCTGCAGGCTTGTCCTCATCCTGATCGATACCGCCACCACCTCGCTGCTCTGCTAGCCCTGCAGCGAGAGGGATATGAGAGAGACAATCTCAGCTACACGTCACTCACGACATAGTTGCTAGTGCAACAGGTAACAATATACAAGGAGGGTGGCAGCGAAGGCTATGCAACCTCAAAATCAACGACAGAGGTAGCCAGGAGCCGCCAACCTTCTATAACGGGCCTGGGCAGCGCCTCCTCGTCGCCACCAGCCACATCCAGCAAGAGCCTCCCCGAGGGACTGCCCTTGGCCGCCGCCGCTGCCTTCTCGTTGTTGCGCTTTCCACCACCACGCCCTTCAAGCTCGCCATGTTCCTGCTCGTCGCCACCAGCCACCTCCTGCGAGAGCCTCCCCGAGGGACTGCCCTTTGCCGCCGCCGCCTTCGCGTTGTTTCGCTTTCCACCACTACGCCCTTCAAGCTCGCCATGTTCATGCTCATCGCCACCAGCCACGTCCTCCGAGAGCCTCCCTGAGGGACTGCCCTTGGCCGCCGCCGCCGCCTTCGCGTTGTTGCGCTTTCCACCACCACGCCCTTCAAGCTCACCATGTTCCTGCTCGTCGCCACGCGCAGACATTCCTAGGCGGCCAGATGGACTGCCATGATACTCCGCAGCCCTCCCGCTACGGTCATAACATCTACCGCGTTGTCCTGCACGCCTGCCTGCTGACGGAGCTGCGAGGGCGGACATCACAAGAACATTAGCAGTCCAGTGCGCGCTAACCTTAATTGCACGAAGTGGCATCAGTATGATCAGTCGATGCAGGGAGTAACGTGCTACTTAGAAACCGGCGATATTACACAAACACGCACCTTCTTTGACGGGTCCGCCGTCCTCGACCTCCTCGTCGCCTTCAGACGCAGCATGTGAAGTAGTGCCTCTCTTTTGTTGACGGCGCTTACGCCCCTTTCGGTTGTCACGCTTGTCCTCTGACAATGTTACGGGGGAGCACAATCGGAGCTTCAGTAACGGGAACAAGTCAAACACGACGGCAAACCGCACTTACTGGATCGGTCGGAGGTAATTAATCATGCAAGTCTACCTTTCAGCAGATGGTACCAAAGACACATACCTTTCTGGCCGGCTTTGGGACCGATGTCATCTAAGCGCCTCACGCGCCTCTCCCGTGGTTTTGGAGGGGAGGACACGCCCTCGTTAGCGTATGCCCCAACATCGCCGTCGCTATTTGATTCGTCACCAGATGAAGAGTCCCGTCCTGACTCAACGTCATCACGCGCCGACGACGCATTGTACTTGCGGTACTCGTTAACGATCTCGGCCGTTTTATCTACTGTAACTAACTCCATATAAATTTTTTCCTCCGGCAATTTCGACGAGTCTGCCAAAACGATCGCCCCATCGGGCCCCTTAATCGTCTGACTATCCATTGCAATGTCTAGGTTTCCATTCACGCAGAAGTCTGAGGTGTGTGTTAGTTTTGACGTTGCAACCTGACAGCTACGCTTCGCGCACTAAAAAAATGTTGAGCTTAGAAGGGACGAGTATCAGACAGGGGCCTGGAGCAGATGACCGTCCCACAAGCAGGCACGCAAGAGGAGCACGGAGGTGACGAGGGTTGGAGTGTTTCTTGCTCTGTTCCACCTTGCGACATCCAGGTCCCTCGTTTCCCCAAACAACCAATCACACGGTGGTTAACGTGCATCCATAAAAAAAATGCGGCTCCAATGGGGCATGATTCAGTGGGAGTAGGCGTTTATCCGTCCAGTAGCGGCAGGGAGCGATACAAAATGTTGCTAGTGCTTAAACGTGCGCTAGTGTATTAGGGCTCACGAAAGATATCTATTCTGCCCGCACAGACTTTATGTGGCTAATTTTCATAGTCTTCCACGCGTGCCTCACGAAGCTTGGCGCAGGCGTCACGTCAATAGTCAAATCGCCACTTCGGAGAAACGGGGACGAACCATTGGCGCAATTCGTACAGCGATGCGACAGTCTGATACGAAGCCGTTATGGAACACCTGCGATAAGAACGCATGCTCGGGAGTTAGTTGTGAGTGGTGGCGATTGGGTCGCAAGTCGGAGAGAACAACGTTCGTGGCAATGAACTGAGGTACGTGGTATGGCGCACGGGGGGCACAAAATCACACATTTATTTGCAAGGCTGCAATATAGTGTTGAAAAAACATATAAATCATTACTACCAAAGGAATGTTGAGCTGTCCAATACCGTACGTTTACTCAAAAGTATGAGCACCGACAGTGCATAACCAGACACATCCTTCACGGACCAACTGTCAGATTGTTTAAGGAGAGCAGTGACCCTGTTACCTTGATTGTTGTTTAAATATGGTCTAGGTTAATAATATATTGGTGTCGCAACAAGGTAGCTACTGGTATGTCATTTGTGGTGCAACATTACCAGTGCCATACACAACCAGTTGGGCTGAAAAGCCCTTAGGATCTTTGCAGGGGTGAACTCTGCGTATACTTGGTGTAGTAGCGGAAGCGTTAATTAAAGTGTTGTGAACCACCTTGCGCTTGTATGCGAGGGCAAAGTAAATTGATTAAAGCAAAGAGATACAAGATTATATAAGAGTACAAGGAATACGAAGAGATACGGTTGCAACTACTTTACTGTTGCTGTTGTGGTTCGATACAGTGACGACTCGGGCAACTGCTCTGCAGCGAGTCAGTTGTGTGTCCTTGCTGTCGCGCTGTACTTGTCAGGTCAACGGTTGTTGACCTTTGACCTGACCGTAACCTCCGACAGTTACTTCATCCTCAGAGGGTTGACTCGCTGGTGCTTCGATACCGTAGTGTTTTGCTTCGTTTGTGTCTTGGTGTTTCGACACGACACAGGCGCTTAGGACCGATTGTTTCCAACACAAACTCCCATCATGGGGCGTCTCTGCACTGTTGTCATGTAGGGCAGCTATAGTGCATAAATAAATTGGTTGATGTGTTGTATGTTCTTATTTCATGCTTGACAGGAGGTGACAAACACTTGCTGTTTGGTCACGTGAGTGATGGGGACTGTTTCGAAGCCTCACCCACGCGTTCTGTGACTTGCTTGTTGGCTTGTCACGATGGACTGGACGGTGGGACAAACAAATCCTCCTTATACGTCTTGTTTGACAACATAGGCCCAATATGTTCACCCTATGCTGAGACATGCTACCCGCCTCATCCCCTCCTGCTCCCTGCTACCTGCCTATGCCTCATCCCCCCTTGCTACCAGCCTCATTCCCCCTTGCTACTTGCCTCGTTCCCCCTTGCTACCCGCCTCATTCCCCCTTGCTACCTGCCTCATTCCCCCATGCTTCCCGCCTCATTCCCCCTTGCTACCCGCCCCATTCCCCCTTGCAACCCGCCTCATTCCCCCTTGCTACCTGCC